TCTCCAGCCCAAGCTCACGTACGCTGTCCCCCTGCACCGCACTTTGCTCAGATCGCTTTTGGAGGGCCCGGAGCAGAAATCTTGCCTCTTCCCACCTCCTGCTAAGGGAGAGCACCGCCACCCCGCAGGCGAGACTCCCACTGAAGCCAGGCAAGCGGCAGCGCGGTCCCCAAGCTCCAGCACCCCATCTCCCAGGCCCTGGGAGCCCCGAGCACCCATCAGCGCGGCCGTGCTGCTGCAAGAGGCACAGCCTCGGCTGCAAATGCTGCCACCGGCGTTACCGCAATCACAGGGGAGTAATTAGCGCGGACGAAGCCCAGGTGATCAAACACGGCCCTCGACAGCCCCCTCTGTACTTTCGGAGTAGCTGCACGGTTTGCCACTTTGCTTTAACACTCACCGGCTGGCAAAGGCTGAAAGCCTCATCAGTAATTTAGGGCAAAGCACATTACAAGCAGGTTACAATTACAGTTATTCCAAACATCAAGCAAAATCAGAAGTTAAGGCTGAAATTAAAAATAAACAGAAGGTGTTGAAGGTCTGAGGTTTCTCAAACTCCTCCTGCCCTGTAACAGCACTGGCTGCAGCATCCCGACAGGAGCAGCGCACAGCCACAGCGTGCTCAGGTTAAACTGCTGCCGAGATGCACCAGGGTTAGGGCTGCTTTTTCTTTCTGTTTCTTCCTTTTTTTTTTCTTTTTTTTTTCTTTTTTTTTTTCGTGAAACTGAGCTGAAGCTCTTCTAGCACCCTCAATCCACACCATTTCACTGTAGTACGTTACTGTCCTTTAGATTCAACCATCTCATCTCCAGAGTTTTAACAACAGCCACACTTTCAAAGTGAAGCCTGTGCCTGTGGGGGGTTTGACCCTGAATCGTAACACGTGCTCCCACAGTACCACCCCGATACTTTATGCATTTAAGTGAATCTGGTTCTTGTTAAACAGGAAAAGATTTAACTTGACAACAGCAATAAAGCAAGCTACCGAGAGCTAGTCAGTGTGTGAAGATGTGCAGCAGGGGTGACCCCTTCTAGTGGTCGCTGGATTCACCAGAGCTGTGGCTGACAGCAGGCGCCAGCCCAGCGAGCTGGTGCAGCTGGGATGAGCCACACAGGACGGTGGCCTGTGCCTGCTCCCCTCCTGCCCGTGTGTCCCAGAGGTCCTGGGATGGCTCTGCAACTCTCCTCCCCTGCCCGGGCAGGCTGTGCCCACCCGAGTCCCTGACCACACCGTTACCCCTCACCAGAGCTCCTCCATCACCAAAGGTCAACTGGGACTCTCCTGCCCACCGTGAAAACCCACCACTGAAGTGGGGCCTGTCATGGGACAGAGGCCACAGCCAGTGACCTCCGCCCACTGCTCTGAGCAGGGGCAGCCAGGCTACCCTGACAGCATGGATGTTGACCAGCAAAGCATTCGTATGGGAGCAAATCCTTCATGCTCTGCAGAACTGGGAAGGGGGAGCCCTTCGTACAAGTGGGAATGGGCTCATGAGCCTGGGGAATTCCTGTGAGAAAGGGACACAGCTCTGACCAGAAATAATACCTTTGATTCTGCTTCTACAGCTCTCCACAACAGTGGATCAACACCAGAGTCACCTCTCACGCGCCCTGGGTGCAATTAAGGCTGACCCGAGACCTTTAGTTCCTCTACCTTAAAAAAATGCTGCGATTCAAACTCTGAAGGCAGCAGTGATCTGCAGAAAATGAACTCAACTACTTCGGCACAGACATCTCCCTCTTCTCCACCAAGGCAGCTGCCACCAACAGGGACAGTCACCTCAAGTGCTGAAGAAGGCCACACTTCCTTCACGAGGGTTTTGTTGCCTGGAGCTGTTTCTCAGCCCACGCTCATGCTCCCTGCTGATGAAGGCAGCCTGGGCAGGGAAGGGCTGCCAGGACCTATCTCCTCACCTGGTCAGGCCATGCCTGTCTTGCTGAGGTGGCCCAGCACTGACAGCCATTCCTAACACCACCACTACTCCCTCTGTGAGCCCCACACACGTCTGAAAAAGCCCTCCTGATCTGACAGAGCATCGCCCAGGGGCCCAATGAGGGACAATCAGCTTGCCGGCTTCCTCCTCAATGACGTTCCCAAACACTGATTTTACTAAGCAGCCTCCCAGCTATGCTGAAGTCAACTTTCCGACAGTAGCTGGAAGGTAGCAAGCCAGAAACCTGAATCCTCATGGAAAAGGCATGAAGGGAGACAAGAAGAGAGGTGGGGTACAGTCAGACGCAAGGAGTAAGGCTGTGGGTTTGAAATGCCATGCAATGGTTCAGTCCACGTTCACTGTTCAAAAGAAGCTTTTAGGTAAGAGCCTGCTGCGTGAAAGGCTGCTGCTGCCATGAACCTCACCCTACTATGTGAGCACACGATTTAAAGAGGTCATTTTTTCAAACCTGCGCTTATGAGAATTCATTGAGAACTTCTCCATTTTACAGATTTAAAAAAGCCTGCACCAAAAATATTCACAGTTTATTTTTCATGAAACAAGTACTAGTTAACACGTGACAATGCGAAGCGGAGGTGGACAGAGCAGTGCAGATACCTTTCTGGTTACAGCTGTAGCTGGCTGGGCGGCTGGCACGGAGGTAACCCTACTTACACAATCTACATGACTAAGTCCAGCTCATGGGAAGGCCTATAAATGTAAATTCAAGATTTATTTTCCTTCTCACACATGATAAATACTTAATATACTGAACGTCATTACCATTTTTTTTTAAAATTTTGTTTAAAAAAAAAAGTTATGAATGCCCTTAGATTATTTTCTCTCTCAATAGCTCTGAGGAGTTGTCCTGATTCCCTTTGTGCAGGAGTCACGCAGAAACACAAGCTGCTTGCATTTCCCCAGTTTCAGCAGCAAGCAGGAACTGACCTGCCAGTCTTTCCGGAAAAAACAACATTAAACAGCAAGTTTCCATAAGCCATAAAGCTTTTTCAAGTCGCTAGCTATTCTACAAAGGATCTGAAATGATTCGGACTAGAGAAGAGATGCACCATAGCACTAGGAATGTCCCCTCGTGCCCAGCACATCCAGCCTTTACAGCAGGATGCCCTCATGGGGTGGCACACATCAGGGAAGGAGAATGGATCGGGGTTTGTCTCGGTACAAGCGTCTGCCTCTCTTCAGAGAAAAGCGCAAAGCTCACGACCGTCTGCTCTGGGAGCAACACACACTTGCAAGCCAGGTGGGAACAAGGACCCGCTCCCACACCGGAGGGAGAGGGTCAGCCTGGAGCTGAACGCTCCCTTGCTGGGGAGGGACCTGCGGATCTGCCTGGAAGGAGAAGGACACACTGGAGCTGCGCAGGGGTCTGGCGGCAGGCACGCAGATCCGAGGCTGCGGCACCCGGACCAGCGGAGCTCAGGCAAACCACAGAGGTAATGTGTTGTGAGAACGGGAGTGTGCTGGTCAGCAGCGCTTCCTCGGCGGGATACCGACCCCATCCAGCCAGAGGCTCATCCTGCTCCTGCCTGCGAGGGTGCTGGTGGTCGCAAGACGCCACTCTGCAGGTCCCTGGGACTCTGCTGCTTGCCCCACGAGTACCACGGACAAGCAAACTTCTGCCTCAACGCTTGAGTAAACGGCTTTCAGCAGGCCTGGTCTGGACACCAGCCTGATGACCACCAGGTACTAAACATCTCCTTAACTGGGAAAGGGAGAAGAGGAAAAAAAGCAAGCCAGCCAGCTGCTGGAGCCCACTGTGTTCCAGTGTGAGAACTACTATTCGGTTGGAAGGACACACACGCGCGCACACACAAGCACACCAACACAGTCCAGTTAATTCAAGTCTCCTTTGGTTTTAGAAGAGTTAAGCCAGAAGCTACCCAAGGGGAAGGTGTTGAGATACAGCTACGGCACCCTTGCCTCTGCGCTGCGCAGCCAACGGTACAGGCTTCACTCGCAGCTCAGCAGCGCGTCCTGCTGCTGGGAAGACCAGGTATGACGCGAACAGATGTGACCACGTCCAGAACACGTCTGAGGCAAGGGGAGAAAAGACTGCTCAGTCTGCTGGCTCACGGTGATGACAGAAGTCAAGAAGAGATTGGATGGAAATTTGAAAGGGAGCACCACCACCCTGCCAGGGTGGCGGCTCAGCACCTTGGGGAAACCCACTCTGCCCTGCTCTGCTATTGCTGCTTTATAGGTCACAATGTTTTCAAGTGCAGGAAACACTCTGCGTGTCCTGTGCTAAAGGATTAAGACACAAGAATGAAAAAACTGCCAGATGGCTTCTTCCAAGATCTCTCTTTTCCCTGACCTCCTTCAGATTCCCTGTTTCTCGGGCCTGGCCAGTCGCAACTTTGTACAAAGGAGCCTGAATGGATATTGTCTATTGCTGGAGAAAACTGCACTGACCGAGTGCAGCGGGCTCCTCTCCCAGCTCAGCTGGAGACAATACCTGTCCTTCAGTGAACCACGCATGCAGCATGTCCCAGTGAACATACGGACAGACCCCGCAAAGCAACACCCTGCAGGCACAGCGACCGGGGCAGACAGCAGATAAGCCCCATCCCTGCTCCTACAGAGTCTGGCAAGGGCGTACACCTGCCTGCTCGCCACCTGATCCCTGAAACATCTCCAGTCCCAGGGCAGCTTGATTGATCTGCTTCCTCTAAATACAGTAGTAAGAGCAAGGCCCCTAGCTGTACCTGGAAACCCACCTACGAATCAGACCTGGAGCTCGAACACGCTGGATCAGTAATGTGACCATTTCAATGGAACTGGAGAGTGGACTCTTTATTTCAGGCTTTACCATTTGTAAAAGGAAGAGGAAAAGGTCACGGATGCTCTCTCTCCCTTCAGCTGGGCCACACTCAGACTTAAGAGAATGTCCTTGCTCATGTCACAAGAGAATACGGATGGGATGTGCATGGGTTAGGGGCTGGGCTCAGGGAAGTGAATAAAAAAAAAAAAAACAAACAACCAAAACAAAGATTCCCCCTCCCTAAACATCAGAAGACTGAAACCTGCCTCCCATATCCACCAACCTCACTTTGGCTCTGAGTCAGCCAACTCACGACAGACAGAATCCTGGTTACGGGCTAGCACTGTGTTTTGTTCAGGCAAAGGGTCCTGCCCCCGAGGAGTCTGTGGTTTTCCACTCAGCCAAGAAATCTGGTCAATTGTCTGAACGTTCGTGACAAGCCACTGCATTTGCTCTGGGGGTGCTGGCGCTTCCCTGGCTGGCCGAGGGGTCTGCTCAAATGCACGTAATCTCTCTGATGTCCAAGGGGTTTGCTCTGCGGGGGCTGAGGCCACTTCCCAGCTGGGCTGAAGGGTCGGCTCTGGTAGTTTCTCTGCTGTCCGGGGAGACTGCTCTGCAGGCGTCAGGGCTCTTGCAGTGGGCCAGTGGGTTTGCTCATGTGTCTGTAGTTTCTCTGCAGGCCAAGGTACCTGTCCGACATGCGTCACCGCTTTCCCAGCAGACCAAGAGATTTGCTCACCACCTAACAGGGTCCTCTCTTTCTGCTGGGGACTCAGCTCCACGGCTGGGGCTCCTCTCTCCTTCGGCTGCGCGTTCTGGTCAACGGGCCGCAGCGCCTTCTCCGACAGCAACAGCCTCGGAGCTGACACAGCCAGAGGCTTGTCCAAGGCTTGGGGAGCAGCAGCCAGCTTGTCCGATGCCTGAGGCCACGGAGCTGTAAGAGTGAGGGGTCTCTCTAAGAGCTGGGGCCGAGCCACCCCGGAGCCAAGAGCCTTCTCTGGAAGCAGGACCCGCAGGGCCCCAGAGTCGGCAGCCTTCTCTGGAGGCAGGGGCCGCAGCACCCCAGGGGTGAGCGCCTTCTGCGTGAGCGGGATCCGCAGGGCCCCCGAGCCAAGAGCCTTCTCCACGGGCAGGACATGCAGTGACCGGGAGCCAGGAGTCTTCTCTGGAGGCAGGGCTCGTGGTGCCCCTAAGCTGGAAACCTTCTCTGTGGACAGGATCCGTGGCATCCCCAAGGCAGGAGCCTTCTCCGGAGGCAGGGGACGGGGAGC